CAGAAGTCATTACAACCTGCCTCTGACCCTGTGTGTCCTTCTTTCACTATACTATTGAGATATAGGAGAATCTAGGTCAGTGGTAATAGACGGCATTTAATATCATTCTAAATATTTCACACATCTGAATATTATTTTCAGGAAAATCTTAGAGAATTTACATTAATCATCAATAATAATACCTTATATGCTAGAATGCATTAGAGTTTTCAAATTTACTCACATTCTTCAATTTCCTATTTAAATTCCATTCATTGAGACTTCCAAAGGAAACAAACAAAAAAAATGGGGATTCTGAAAAAAAAAACCAATAAAGCCTATGGAGGTGAGGAAAAGAGAGGAAAGAAAGAAAGAAAGAAAGAAAGAAAGAAAGAAAGAAAGAAAGAAAGAAAGAAAGAAAGAAAGAAAGAAAGAAAGAAAAAAGAAAGAAAGAAAAGAGAAAAAAATTTCATGAGCAAGGAAGTAAAAAGGTATTAGGTGTAGGCAGGAAGACATATAAGTGTTATACTAGCCTTAAGTAGTATTCAAGTAAGTTAATTTCTCTAGAAAAATAGCTATCTTCTGCTTACTGCTTCTTCTTGTTTATGCTTTGTCACCTTGAATTATACTTTAATTCCTCAAAGTCTAAGCCTGCATGAAACTGATTAAGAGGTATATTAACTTTCTATCACTGCCATAAAAAAGTATAATACACTTAGTGGCTTAAGACAACACGAATCTACTAGTTTTTTTTAAAGAATTTATTTATTTATTTTAGAAAGAGAGAGAGTGAGAGAGCACGAGAAGGGGGAGGGTCAGAGGGAGAAGCAGACTCCCTGCTGAGCAGGGAGCCCGATGTGGGACTCGATCCCGGGACTCCGGGATCATGACCTGAGCCAAAGGCAGTCGCTTAACCAACTGAGCCAACCAGGAGTCCCCACAAATTTACTACTTTATAACTATGTAATTCAGAAGTCCAACATGGGTCATTTTGGGCAAAAAGCAAGTTGTCAGCAGGCATGCATTCATTCTGGAAGCTCTAAGGAAAAATCTCTTTATTTGCCTTTTCCAGCTTCCAGAATCCACCCACACTCCTTGGCTCATGGCTCCTTTCTTCTGTCTTTAAAGCCAGCGACATTGCATCTCTCTGACCCTACCTCTCTTGTCACATCTCTTTCTCTGATTCTCTTTTTCTTATGCTTCCCTCATCCACTTTTTTTTTAAATTTAATTTTATTATGTTATGTTAATCACCATACATTACATCATTAGTTTTTGATGTAGTGTTCCATGATTTTAAAAATCCTTGTGATTACATTAGGCCAACCTGGACAATCTAGGATAATCTCCCATTTTAAGGCCATTTACTTAATCCTATGGGCAAAGTCCCTTTTGCCACATACGGTAACATATTCATAGGTTCTAGAGATTAGGATGTAACATTTTGAGAAGAGGGTGCTATTCTGCCTACCACGAAAGCTTATATTTAAAGTCCTATTCTCTGACCACTACCTCCTATCTTTCCGCTGCATCGCCTCATCCTCCAATTCTACAATCCTTTGAGCCCTTATGGGACCTTCACTTCATTAAGTATACCACTTTTTCACTGTCTCTCATTTCCTCAAAGTCCTCTCTTCCCTCCTAATCAAACTAAATTCCATGGGTTATCATCACAGTCCCTCCTTTACGCACATCCCTTACTCCCTTGCCCTTCTCTTGTCCTAGTCATTTGGTGAAAACCCAGATCTGTTGACTCTAGCTCTCCCTCAGTCTGTCTTTGTCTTTGTGTAGCTGAACATGACTGGAGGAAAACAAGCCTTGCTGATTGGTCTCCTATTCAAGTCCATACCACAAACTTGACATGAGTTCTTGATTCTGCCTGGTACCCAAATGCAATTTTTCTGGTCCATTCTCTTTCCCACTTTCCTAGAAGACCCTCTCATGCCTTCTCCTGTCTTCTCAAACCTCATACACTTACTTCTTCATCCTCATCTTTTTTTTTTTTAAGTTCCTATTTATTTATTTGAGAGAGAGAGAGAGAGAAAAAGCATGAGTGGTGGGCCAGAGGGAGAGGGACAAGCAGACTCCCCGCTGAGCAGGGAGCCTGATGTAGGGCTCGATCCAGGACCCTGAGCTCGTGATCTGAGCTGAAGGCAGATGCTTAACCATCTGAGCCACCCAAGCACCCCTTTCCATACTCATTCTTGGCACATGACTTGACTCTTTCTTTCCTGAGAAATGCAAAACAAGCAGAAGAGAGCCCTGCAGATTCCCACATACCTCTCTATAGGTCAGCTTCTGTCCTTACACTCTACCTTCTTCCTAATGGAGCTTTGGACTTAACCCAGGCCATCGTGATCTTGTATGTGGAAATTCATCTTTATTTCTAATAACTCTTCACTGAAATCTAGTCATTTTCTTCAGTTATGAATGTAGGTAGTAAACCACAGTAGCACTACCTATGCTTTTGTCATGAGTAAACATCACAAGGATTTTATACCATGAAACAGTTTTTGCATCTATTTCAGAATATTATACACATATGTATCACTACTTTAAAATTATGGTAGTTATTAAGTGCACTACTAGATATTATTTATGGCATTAATATAGAAACACATGCATTAATGTATCACAGATTTGATTTTTAAAATGATTTTATAACTGTGTTTCAAAATAATTTTCTTTGTACTCCTATGTATTTTGTGCATTTAAAAACGTAACACTGAGGGGGATGCCTGGCTGGCTCAGTTGGTAGAGCATGCGACTTTTGATCTCAGGGTTGTGTGTTCAAGCCTCACACTGGGAGTGGAGCACATGTAAAATAAAAAAAATTAAAAATGAAATTAAATTAAAAAATAAAATAAATAAAAACATAACACTGAGAAGTGTTCATAGGTTTCAACTGTTAAAGGATTCATGGCATAAGAGAGGGACTATAGAGGGACTGTCCATGCTGCTATCTATTTTTATTTTTATTTTTTTAAGATTTTATTTATTTATTTGACAGAGAGAGAGATAGCTAGAGCAGGAACACAAGCAGGGGGCGTGGGGGAGGGAGAAGCAGGCTTCCCGCCAAGCTGGGAGCCCGATGTGGGGCTCGATCCCAGGACCCTGGGATCATGACCTGAGCCAAAGGCAGACGCTTAACGACTGAGCCACCCAGGCGCCCCTCCATGCTGCTATCTAAAGCCAGTCCCTCCATCTGTGGACTAGAACCAATCTCCTTTCACCCATGATGACAGATGTAATCCTTTCACCCCTCTAGATCTATGCTCTGACTTCCTGCTCAGGACCCTGGAGCTGATCTCTGTGGACAGTACCAACCAGGTTTCCTCATATTTTGATTTCTGCTTGGGTTTAGACAGTAGGAAGCACCAGCAGGACAAAAAAGTATGTGAGGAGGGAGAAATTGAGGTATTTACCTGCAATCCCTTCCCAGAGACTTGGGTTGGCAGAACTCCTGTTTCATCTTCATTTGGGCAACCCTTTCCTATCAAGGAAGCTCTCTCTCTGGATTCATATATAACTGCCCCTGATTTTTCTCCTCCAGGGGATCCTCCTTCTGTGGTGAGCATCTAATGATTCACCATCCTTTGAGAGCTTTCTATAAGTCAACCCACACCTCTGTGATAATCTCTTCAGTTTCCCCCTTTTGACTGTGTCATCTGTTTCCTGCCAGGACTCTGACTACTACCCAGACTCAGAAAAATGGCCCCAGCATCTCTCCTTTCTCTAAGTTCATTCCCATCAAGAAAGCCTTCTTTCAACCCAGTTCTCCTGACAGCTCCATTTCCTTGATAGCCAGACTCACTGTCTCCAGTGGTGTCCTCTACTTCACTCTACAGGACACTCCAGGGGGCCTTTGCCTCCACACCCCAAGATTGCTCCTTAAGGTCACCCACAATCTTCATGTTGCTAAACCCAGTGGTTATTCTTAGCACTCATCTTTGTAGTGCTTTTAAATCAGCATTTAACAGTTGATCACTCCTTCCTCCTTGATATGTTTTCTATTAGGCTTCTAGGACCCCAAGGGATATTCCTTCTAATTCATCCTTTGCTCCTTCCCAGTCTTCTCTGCTGATCTTCCTCTTCCAGGGCTCAATTCTTAGTCTTTTTTCTTCTTCTAAATCTATACTCATTCCATTAGTAATTTAATAAAGAAGTCTCTCTGATCTATTTCTAACATGTAGTTCACTAATTTATCATGTTGAATTATTGACTCTCTCCTCGCACCAGAACATAAACTCCCCAAGCCTGGAGATTTTTAATCATTTGGTTCTTGAGTGTTTCCTAAGTGTCCAGAACAGTGCCGGGCACAAACATTTTTGTTGAATTTAATTGGATAGTAACCATTACCCCTCATATAAAGGGTAACAACTGTGACTTTTTCCTTCTATGAAAGCAAAGCCATAAAATAATAAGAATAAAATATTAATGAATAAATACATCAAGTTGTAATGGGAATATTCATTCTAAATGTAAAGACAAGAGACTGAAGCAAGATCAGTAAATATGACAGTAAATAAAATTTAACCTTTAATAAAAATGTTAAAAATCATAAAAATCAAACTTCACATAAAATTAAATTGCAACATATATATGACAGATGTGAAATTATATATCTGATATATACTGATTTCTTATAAATCAAAAGGTTATATAAGTAAAAAATGGGTGAAAGACATGAAAAAATAATTCACTAAAGAAATAAAACTGATCAAAAATATATAAACCATCAATCTCATTGTAAATTCAAACCATAATGATATGTCACTTTTGCCCATAAAAAAGAAAATTCTATTTTTCTAAAGCTGTACATTTATTTTATTATTTTTTTAAAGTAAACTCCACCCCCAACGTGGGGCTCAAACTCATGACCCCAAGATCAAGAGTTGCATGCTCTACTGACTGGGCTAGCCAGGGATCCTAACAAAATTCCATTTTAATTAATATCTGAGTCAGTAATTCTACTTCAAGGACCCTATCCCAAATAATTAGAGCTGTACACCTATGTATGTGCAAGGATATTTATTGCAGCAATATTTTTGAAAGCAACTTAAAATTCCCACAATAGAGACAAGCATAAATAAAGTATGGAACAATCATACCATGGAATATTTTACAGCTGTTCAAAATTATGTGTTTGCAGAATACTCAATGATACGGGAAAATGCTTAAGCCATAAAGTTCGAAGTTAAAAAAAAAACTAAGATATAAAACTGTACATGGAACAGGATTCCAAAATTTCAAATACAAAATACATATAGATACATATATACATATACCACAAATTGAAAAATAACTAAAAGAAAAATATATAAATATTAATGCTTGTTATTTTTATGCAGTGGGATTATGAGAGATTTTATTTTCTCATTTGAAGTTTTCTGTATTTTCCCATTTTCCCCAGAGTATCAGGTATTGCCTTTCACATTTAGAAAATAAATAAATGCTATTAATAAGGGGTTCCAAAAGATAAAAATGTAAACACTGAGTGTCCTTTTTTTTTTGTTTTATAAATGGCTAAATCTTCCAGCTAAGAAGTTTTTATTTCCAGTAGAAGTAGTACTCGTGTTTTTTCCTTGACTGGATTTGGATAGAGGATCCACTGCAACATACTTGATTTGGAAACCTCCTGCCGTCACTGAAGCATCACTTAGAAACTTCAAGGTCATGACATTTCCTGGGGAGGAGGGGGAACGCAAAAGAACAAAGATGTTACTCTGCTTTAATTTGTCTGGCAGTCCAAAGACTCATCATTCTTATAGGAGAATATAAAAAGTCATGAACCAGACTCCCAGAATTCAGAGTTGGATTCTCAAGCAGTGGAGTCTGTGTTTCCTTTGCCAAGTGTAGTAGGGTGAGAGACTTTCCTATTTTCTCCTCTGGCCCTTTAAGCTGTCCTACAGGAAATTTTTCTATTCTGTTTTAAAAGGTATTCTTTATAGAAGGAACAGCCACTGAATTCAGGAGAATGTCAGGCCGTTTAAACCAGTGAGATATGGATGAATTATTTATAAATGATGTCAGGGCAACAAGCTTTACATTGTAAGAAACAAAGCCACAACGCTAACTCCCTACTTTACACAGAGTACCTAAATAGATTTTACCTGCATTTAAGACCAAAAATATGCTAAAAATAAGAAGTGAAAATCTATTATATAAAATAAAATATAGGAATATTTTTCTTTTTCACCAAGGAAAGGTCTTCTTCATCCACATCACAAATCCAGAATTCATTACAAAAAATCCCCACATATATCAAATGCTAATGTTTGCCAAGCACAGCTGTAGGTGCCTTTCATCTATTAACTCATTTATTCCCCACAACATTATGAGGTGGATATTGTAAATATTTATTTTACAGGTGAAATTGAGGCATAGAGAGCCTGAGTGGCCTGCCCAAGGCTACAATGCTAAATTAGTGGCAGAACCAGGTTTGAGCCCCAGGAGTCTGGCTCCAGAGTTCATGCTCTTATCCACTACACTTTTCTCAGACTTGGAAGAGTTGCCTAAATTAAAAACAAACAAACAAAAAACAACATTTTACAGATTACTCAAGTGGTTAATATACAAATTGTCACTGTAGGGCTAGTGCCAATTTGGCAGCATCTATTCACATTTAAAATGAAATCATTTTGACCCCAAAATTTCACTTCTAGGAATCTACTCTTTAAAAAAAAAATAGCACCACAAAGTAGAGGTTTAAAAATACCAGTGAAATGTTGAATAGCGCAAGAAAAGAAAATCAGAAATAATCATCTTTAGGATGTTAAATATTGATACATGACAAATGATGGTACATCCATACAGGGACCTACTAGGCAGTCATTAAAACAAATTTGAATGATCTACATACTGTATGCTGACTTGGAAATATGTCCATGATATCTGTGTATATCATGTTTATATAATACAGGAGAACACCTGGAAGTCATCCAATGCCTTTCTTGGGTGAGCAGAGATAAGGAGAGTGGGTATATTCTTACTTTATATACTATTTATTAAAGTGGTCTAGTTTATGGGTAGTTTTTAGTTCATTCATTTTCTGGTCTTGTTTTTTAATGTAAATATCCTGGCTGAATAAGCACATATTTAAGAAGAAAACTAGATCAAAATGTTAACAGTATTATACTTGACTTGGTAGGATTATACTTCAAATGTATTTTAAATCTTTTTCTGTTTCTTGGTATCAATTTCCTCCTCTTGCTGTTTTGCTAAATCTTTGGCTGTTTTGTTTAACTATGTTCTCTTCTGTGTGTTGATTGTTTCTCTTTGAATAATAAACTGTGTGCGGTTTTGTTGTTGTTGTTTTTTTCAGTTTCTTGCAGTTGTGTTAGAAAAACACTAATTTGATTATGCTTAAAGTAAGTTTTTTCTGTTTTAGACAAAACAAGAAAAAATGTCAAGTTTCAGGCTTTGATTCTCCCTGTTTCTTTCTTTTCTTTCTTTTTTTTTTAAATAGGATTCTCATCCCTCAACTATCTCCTATGGATGGCTCCTGTCTTCTTTTAACTTTCTGTTAATGTAAAATATGTTCTCAAGAAAAGAATGAGATAAACAGGGTTTTTTTAAATGTCTTTTTTTTTTTTTAAAGGTTTTATTTATTTATTTGACAGAGAGAGAGAGAGATAGCGAGAGCAGGAACACAAGCAGGGGGAGTGGGAGAGGGAGAAGCAGGCTTCCCGCAGAGCGGGGAGCCCGACGGGGGGCTCGATCCCAGGACCCGGGGATCATGACCTGAGCTGAAGGCAGACGCTTAACGACTGAGCCACCCAGGCACCCTGAGATAAACATTTTAGTAGGCTGCCCTTACTAGGGAGATTGTAACAGAGAATGAATGAATAACTTTTAAGCAATTAATCATTCAAGGATTGAATAAGAAGTTCTATATCTTGTAATATTGATGCATAAATGAGAATTTCATGAGAATTTTGTACACTTCAAGGCTAGGGTGTGGGAGTAATTTAGCTAGTGGTATCTGAGCTTAAGGACCACTTAGAAATTACAATTCAGTGTATTTTGTTATTTTTAGTTGCAGAAACATTGTGATAATTTTATGACTTGGAGGAAAAATAGAGCAAGTAAGAATACCAACTACTAGTGCTGGGGATGGAAATAAAAATTAAAAAAGAAAAACACCTAAGAAAGTGAAGGTTCTTAGCCAGAAAATAGCGGTATGGGGCAATGGCAGTGATATTGCTTATGGAAATAAATATATACGACTACAAACTCATTTCTTGAGGTACATTGCATGGTGCAAAGTCACAAAAGTAATTGGCAGGAGTTAAAAAGATTTGGAACACATCGCCAACAATAGCTAGCCTTTTGAGATTTACTATACATAATTAGCATATTAAAAGCTCTCTGACATCTTCCAATAAAGATACCTGTTTAACATTGTTTAAACCAATGTTTCCCAAATTCACTTGACCTTAGTGTTCTTTTCTCATGCAACACCTATTAAAAATGTTTCATAGAACTGTTCTTCACAACACTCTGGAGAATGCTGTGTTAAGATAAAAATGCAGTTAAGTGTGATGTAAAATTTTTTCAGTGACAGAAGGTATTTTTAACAACTTTAATACTTTGGAAAATACTTTTCAATCCTTTATTGATGAAAAACTTTGTTTGTTTGTTTGTTTTTAACCACATTTTATGGAAGTCATAACCTACAGCAATATTCAGGGATTTGCAGGTGCAAGACCATCTCAGACTGCATTCCTGCACCTGATAAGTCTACACATTTTTGGTGTAAGGAGATGGCATAAGTCTTTAAGTATAAACACTGCATTTCACAAACTGGTAAGCTACATCTGTGCCAATGGTTCCCTCAACTTTAAAAAGGAAATAGTAATAACTACTGGGTTCTTCACTTTCAGTGACACTATGAAAAAACAAATCATAGTCCTATGTCTCAATTTAGAGCCGTTACCTGTACTAACGATGTCTTCTGGAAGCTCATCCCCACAGTATCTGAAAGGGAATTTTTAAAAAGGAGAAGTCACACAAAAGACACAGCTATTGCAAGCAGCTCTGACCTGTAATTAAAGTGCTTTATTTTTCCTAAGTAATGGCTCGTTTTCCTATTATTTTATGTTTTTATTTTTTTTTAAACTTGAATTTGTAAGGGAGAAGAGGGATTAAAACAAAGTTTTTTGTGTCAAATAACCTCACAGTATAAATGAGATTCTTATAAAAGAATATGTGGCATTTCTGTTCTATATACGTGCAAAACTATTTGTGTAGTAGACAATTTGAATCTATTTGGAAAAATTTTAAATTTGATTCTGATTAATCAGTTTTCTTCACAGTTAAAGAGGAATAGGTGTATGGCTGATGGTACTACTAATTTGAATTCTAGAGTAGACTGATCTAAATGTGGAAAATTATGTTGGACCTTACAAGAGGGATTGATTTTTATTTGAATTATGACTTGAAAGGAACTCCCTTGTATATTACATAAAAGGGAAGGATTTATCACATAATATAAATCCAATAAATAACAAATTAGTCTATTGAAAACCTTTTAAAAAACAGTATATTATTTTACCTAGGGCTGTAATTGATTTCTGAAACTAGGTTTAGAATGAAAATATCATCTTGACTCTCAAGGTAGGATGTCCACTCTTTCAACAAATACTTTGCTCTTAATTTCACCAAACCCGCTTCATCTCTTCTTCAGACTATGTTTTAAAACTATTTGTACTTTTTTTCTATAGCAGTAGTCCGTCAGCCAGAAAGCAAAATAAAACAAAGCAAAACAATTTCCCTCCAAAAATTGTTGTTCATGTATGAAAGAAATGCCTTTCTTTCTCTTTGTGTTTAAGTTACACATTTCAAAGTCACAACAAACTACTGAGTCTATCATTTTTAATTGTCCTCACTACCATTTTCTTTCATTAAATTACTGTTGTGGATGATAGAAAATTGATAACTGATAGTCTATTGATAATGGATAGTCTCAGATATGCGTTATTAAGTGGGGGGTTAAATAAATAAAACACATAATTAGATATGCTTTGATTTGTAATATTTTGTGAGACATTCAAAATTTAAACTATATTGAAGATTCAGGATGGCAACACAGATCTGTTGTGTCCCAGTATGTTGAAAACCCAAGGGAGAAATATTGAGGAAAGGAGCACTTGTTTTCTATGGTAACGAAAGCTATTTTAAAGAAGATATCCATTGTACATTTAGGTAAATTTTGTGAGAGAAGGGGCTATACTTTGCTTAATTCTTACATTCATAATGCTTAGCACAATACTTTGTACACAGAAGAAAGACAGTAATTACTGAATTTATAATTATTTTTAGGAGGTTGATAGAAATTAGAATACCTAAAAATCCCCAACAGATTTCTCAATTCACATGTATCTTTTTTCTCCTATTGTTAGTTAAATACTGAGGTCTTTTTATTTTTTTATTTGTTTGAAAAGTTTTATTTATTTAAGTAATTTCTATACCCCACATGGGGCTTGAACTCACGACCCTGAGATCAAGAGTCACACGCTCTTCTGACTGAGCCAAACAGGCACCCTGAAGTCTTTTTAAATAGACTATTTAATTCTTACAACTTAACAGTAATCAAAAGGCAGCTGTCACTATTTTAATTATAAGAACATGCAGCAGCTTCACGTACTAAGAAAAATCTTTGCTAAAAACAGATATGGTGTTGCAGGGGAGTAGAAATACTAGAAAATCAATAATGGGGAAACACGTACCTTCCCACAAAACCATGGACATCATCGTAACTGTCATATATTTCAATATAGTCAGCCAAGCAAGCTGGGTCATCTTCAAGGTCAAAGTCCAAAAAGCTCAGGTGAATACGTTGACCGTACTTGAGTCTAATGTGCCAGTAACAGATCTGGTTATCTTCGTACTCATTTGGGAAGCCTGGAGATTTAAAAATTCGCTTTGGATCTGTAAAGACACCACCACACTCCTTTGCTGAAATGGATAAAACAAAAAAAGAGAAGAAAGAAAGCATTAGAAAAAATATCCCTATTTTAAACTGATATGTACTTCTTAGGCCTATTTATTACTTTTAATGAAATATTGAATATATATACTTACAGCTAAAGGATAAATGAATATTTTCATTATTCGTTGCTAAATTCTTTCAAATGAATATAGACTGAATTTTTTAAAAAATAAAATAACAAAAAAAAATAGCAACTTAATAATTGTGCTCTTGTTCACTTTTTTTGCTTTTTATCTTTTCAGCTTAGAATGCACAAGCCTCAGGGCACCTGGCTGGATCAGTCAGTGGAGCATGTGACTCTTGATCTCGGGGTTGTGGGTTCAAGCCCCATGTTGGGTGTAGAGATTACTTAAAAATAATTTTTTTTTTTTAAAAAAAAGAATGTACAAGTCTCATGGGTATATGTTCATGTATTTTGATGAATATGTGTACCCCTGTTACCAACAGCCCAATCAAGATGGCTGGGATTTTGTCCTGTGGTGTCAACACTGTGTCCTCATGGACTTGGACATTTAGAATAATGAATCCAATAAATTCTGTTTGGAAAATCATTATAGAATTTCAGGATCACGGGGGACCTTGAAGGTCACTCTAATCCAGTTAAAAGGAATAATTTATAATCATTCTATACTCCTTTCACTGGTTTTAAACTAACACTTCAATCCAAGTATTTGAGGATTTGATGGAGACATTCATGTTTGTTTTTTTCAAGTCATTTATCATTTTATAGATTTCTGCCATGCCTTATAACCTGGTATGAGAACAAACAATCAAACAGCCTCTGCCAGAACCAGTGATTTTATAGTGTGACCTGGAGGGAAAAGTATGGAAAACCCCTGGTTAATTTTAATTTCAGATCAAGTAAGTGTCTACAGTCTAGAAACTCAAAAATATTGTGAATGGTGGTGGTGGTGACTGTGGGTAGCATTCGAAAACATTTTTCATTGAATCAGTCAGAGGCTTTTTCCAAGAATATTATCCTTTAAAAGAGCTATTTAAAAAAATTGTGTTAGAATCCTAATGCCATAGAAGGTAAGGAAGCATATCTCCCTCAGGGCCGAAGAGGATCTTAGAATTTCTGACAGGGGAGTGACAGAAGAAGGTCAGGGATCTAGTCTGAGCTCTGTGACCACTCTATACTTCAGTTTTTTCATTGGTAAAGTAAAAATAATCATGCCTCTCCCATTACCTACCTCACAGCTTTATTCTAAGGATAGTAACATGGAAGAGAATGTCAGGGTGTTATGCAAAATGTAAGCTGTTCTTATTGCCTTGTTAAATATTATATGATACATAGTTTATACGTGTACATAAGCATGTTCAGTGCCAGTTTTTGGAGTGATTTGCTCTGTCTCATATAATCCTATCTTTGTTGTCTATTTCATTAGATTAGGAAATAATTCAAATATTGAACAATTTGTTTAGCTATTCAGCTCTATATTTTATTGATTAATTGATAGTCATTGGTTTATCTTTTTGATACCGTTATGATTTTTTCATTCCAATTAGTTTTCATTGAACTGTTCCTCTCCCAGTGCTAGTTCAGGCGGCCCGCAGTCCCCTTCAGGTTCACCACATCCTAAAAAATCAGCATGTCACTGAATCCAAAAGTAAGCTGAGACCTGAGTAAGAACAAGTCTCCCAGGATTCTGTACAAATAGTCCCAGAGTAAAAAGCCTCTATGAGAAACAAAAGCAATTTATAAAAATTTGTAAGTTAAGGTGGCGTCCTTATAAAAGGGCAAGGAAATACTCTAAGAACCTTTCCATTAGCACTTCTTTCTCTCCCCTAGATCTTGACCTTTGGAAATGATTGAATAGATGCTCAGAGATCCTAAAGCTTATCAAGCAAAGGAAGAATCAGAGAATATACTTGGAAATAGAAGTGACTCTTGAGAGTAAAAAGAAAGTTGCTTGTGTAAATATACTGACGAAAAAGGAAGAGGAAGAGGGAGGAAAAGAAGATATATGAACTATTAACAATAACTAGATATAGAACTAAATATAACATAGGTTTAATGTATGTCAAAGTGGTTTGAAAATTATAGCCCTATATAAATGCACTATACATATTTATTAATATTTTGTCTTAAGTGGGAATAGATGATGGCTCTAGGCAAAATTCTTTTCTACTTAGAATACACATTATTTTGAGATAAAGGTTAGTTACAAACATGAGAAACTATTCTCCAATGGTTAATATCATTGAATAATAAATTCTATAGTAATATGCTAGAACTTGACTATAACTCACTGTAACTTCTCCCTAGGGGCTTTCTTTTTTCTATTTTTTTTTTAAGATTTTATTTATTTGACAGAGAGAGCATAAGCAGAGGGAGAGAGAGGGAGAAGCAGGCTCCCTGCTGAGCAAGGAGCCCGATGTGGGACTCAATCCCAGGACCCTGGGATCATGACCTGGGACAAAGGCAGCCGCTTAACCGACTGAGCCACCCAGGCATCCCTCTGTAGGGGCTTTCTTATAAGGCAGATTGAAACAGGACAACACCTGAAGATGTTTGTGATCATAAATGGGAGACAGACTTGGTAACACATTATAATTCTTTTAGTATCATCCTGGGGGAAATGCATCCAAAAAGAACAATCTATTTTTTCCTCCAAGAACATGAACAAAGAATAGCTCTTTATAGTCATTATGTTGAATTAATTTTCTCTTTAAAATTTTTCTAGCTACAATGAACCATGGGAAAATATGAACAAAAATATACTATATAATAATAACTAGTATATCCAGTATATAATTGTGAAAACAAACCATAGAGTGAGAGTTGCTTAGTTTGGAAGTTTAAGAATTTATGCACAGGGGCACCTGAGTGGCTCAGTCAGTTGGGCGTCTGCCTTCGGCTCAGGTCGTGATCCCACGGTCCTGGAATCGAGCCCCGTGTCGGGCTCCCTGCTCTGTGGGAGGCCTGCTTCTCCCTCTCCCGCTTCCCCGCTTGTGTTCCCTCTCTCTCTGTGTCTCTCTGTCGAATGAATAAATAAAATCTTAAAAAAATATATGCACAAAAAGAAATTAGGGGAAGAGTTTATTTTGTCTCTTTTTTCCTCCATTCTATCAAAGGGGTAATTTTGAACAGTTAACATTTGGTAATATCACTTTGTTGTTTTAGCTAATTAACCGTGACAAATTTATAAACTGCTTTTTTTTTTTTTTTTCCCTTTGTGGTCGGGAATAGAAAAAGACGTGACATAGAAAAGACCTGAATCTGAGATCCTACCTGCCTGCTAATTATTGGATGTCTGATTTCGGTAAGTTATTTAAGCTCTTAGACTTTCAATTTCCTGATTTCTAAAATGGGTATACCAACAGCTCCTTGCAGAGTTGTTGTGAATACTGACTGTGGAAGAGGAGCAGCAGGGCGGGGTCTGGCCCAGCATAATCACTCCGTGTATCGTTGTTGTTATGAACAATCATCATCACCAAGTTGATTTATCTCTGGGAGAAGGAACCATTTATATCTAATAACCTCTTGGTAACATGTAACTGTTTTGGCAAAGATAAAATTACTATTTGTAACAAACCATGCGGGTTGTAGCAATAGGCATCCCATCTTTCACTCCTATTAAGACGGACTCCATAATCAATAATACCAGTTTTTCCAAATCCACAGTTGGGCCCTGGTTTCACAATGGGGTATCCAACTCTGCCTTTGGCCATCCACCCAGCAGCACAGACATGAAATCCTGCAAGAGAAGGAAAGGATTATGGGCTAACTGGTAAACCCCCTCAGCTGAGTGAAGGTCATCTTAACAAAAGCAGCCCCTTCTCAGCTGCCCAAAGCCAGGTATGTAAAAGGAGGGAAAACTGTTTTCTTTCTTTTCTTTTGATTTTGTTGAAAAACCCTTTTCTTAAAAAAGAAAATAAAGTTTGAATACATATAAAATGTAACATCTGACTTTTACTAGAAAATGACGTCTTACTTGAAAAAAAAAAGAGGCAGGTGGACTGGAAATCATAATACCATGGATATGAAAACAATCCAAGTTCAGAGCTGGCTTCTTTTCACCATTGACCTATCTATTGCCATGAAATAATTTCTGAAATTACCATTGATCCTGGAAGGCAATTTTTTTTCAAATGATAATTTTTTAAAAGATTTTTATTTATTTATTTGTCAGAGAGAGAGAGAGAGAGCACCAACAGGGGGAGCAGCAGAGGGAGAGGGAGAAGCAGGCTTCCCGCGGAGCAGGGAGCCCGATGTGGGGCTCGATCCCAGGACCCTGGGATCACGACCTGAGCCGAAGGCAGACGCTTAACGACTGAGCCACCCAGGTGTGCCTCAAATGATAATTTAATTAGTTTCTATTTCAGGATCAATTAAAATTTGCTAATATTTTGGGGCGCCTGGGTGGCTCAGTTGGTTAAGCGACTGCCTTCGGCTCAGGTCATGATCCTGGAGTCCCGGGATCGAGTCCCGCATCGGGCTCCCTGCTCAGCAGGGGGTCTGCTTCTCCCTCTGACCCTCTTCCCTCTGGTGCTCTCTGTCTCTCATTCTCTCTCTCTCAAATTAAAAAAAAAAAAAAATTGCTAATATTTAAAAAAATTTGAATAAGGATACATGTGCTCATAAATTTTGAACAAAGCCTCGGCCCTGTTTTCCTTGCCCAGCTTCAGAGGCTGTTTAAATAGTTTCCGCTGCCGGGGCGCCTGGGTGGCTCAGTTGGTTAAGCGACTGCCTTCGGCTCAGGTCATGATCCTGGAGTCCCGGGATCGAGTCCCGCATCGGGCTTCCTGCTCGGCAGGGAGTCTGCTTCTCCCTCTGACCCTCCCCCCTCTCATGTGCTCTCTCTCTCTCATTAAAAATAAATAAATATTTTTCCACTGCCATCCAAGAGTGGTTTTACTGGAGGTCCAGGACAGCCAGTAATGGCCCCGGCCTTTGTAGCCATTGTTCTAGTTACTGCGTTCCAGTTACACACAGCCCTGTGGGTCTAGACTGAGCAATGTGCTGGGGAGACTTTGGGGATTTTTAGAGAACAGTTTTATTTTTATCCTGAGTAATATATAATAATAGCATATATTATATATGCTATATTTTATATTTTATATATAGCATATATTATATATGCTATATATATTATATAAGCTATATATAGCTTATATATATGTATATAATAGCATAAGCTTTGCGAGGTATTTTTTTTTAATCAGCAAAGGGGTTTCTTCAATGGAGAAGAGAGTTCTGAATGGGGGTGGCCTTTTGGATTCTCCTATATATCCACCTGTAAAACCACCAGGAGAGATGGTCATGGTGCATTTTTATTTTATTTTATTTTTTTAAGAAAGAACTAGCACTAGTTAATCACTGTGTTTGCACCAGATCTCCTGACATCATCTTCTTAGTTTCTTCTTCCTGCCATCTTATAACCTGCTTATCTTCCTTGTGATCCTAAAGTACAAATGCATTCTCCCACTGACCTTAAAGACATTGGGGAAAAAAGGGGCATCTGGGTGGCACAGTGGGTTAAGTGTCTGACTCTTGGCTTTGGTTGGGTTTGTGATCTCAGGGTTGTGAGTTGGAGACCTGCCTGGGGCTCCGTGCTCAGTGTGGAGTTTGCTTGGGACACTCTCTCTCCCTCTCCCTTTACCCCTCCCTCACCTCCCCCGCATGGGGGCATGCTTGCTCGCTCTCTCTCTCAAATAAATAAATCTTTAAAAAAATATTTTGAAAAAAAAAAGCCGCTAAATTCAGTATTTCTTCTACCAATCAAATTTCTTTGTAAAACTCAACATAGTAACATTTAACAGCTGAGGAAACCCATATTCAGAAGTTAAGATAGAACAGTATTAAAAATGAATAGAAATGGCATTAAAATTAATGAGGAATTAAAATGATGTTGAGATAATGATATCTTTGTTTTTTGACTTCTATTATATTAGCTCACAATGGGTTGTGACCCCAAATAAGTTGCTAGCACTAAGAACTTTCCACTGGCTCTAGGAAGAGAAGATGGGAGAAGCCAGAGAGCAGGGATGTCATAGGGGCTTAGAGAACCATTGGAAGGACTGGAGAGAGAAATCTTATGAAGGGGTTACAGAAAAGAAGGGATTTTTTTTTTTCCCCCACCAAAGGTAAAAAAGAAGGAAAATCACTGTCAAATTAGTTACCAATTTTTCTGGCTGCCTCTAGTTGCTTGTAGGTGGCGAGCTGGCCGCCTTCATATTCGCACACCGCCTTGGCTTCTGCGTAGGTGAGCTTGTATTTGCCAGACCGAGCTTCTCTGTGGTACACACCTGCTGCTTGTTCTGTGAATTCACAAAATGTTGTAAATGTGCTATGATCCATTCTTGTGGAACAAGGGAAATTTTGTGGCTTCATCTAAAAGATTGCGTCAGCTATTGTTCCTGCCAAAGAGTTTCCTGGGTCAGTGGCCTCGGGTGGCTAAGTTTTCATTGTTAGAAAGCTTTGAAAAAAAATATGAATGAGGGGAATTTTAGGGGAATTTGGGGACACAGCAGAAACTTGAGGCTAAATTATGTTTCTGAACTGATGGCCTGAATGAAAGCTGTAAGACAACATTGTATTTCTAAACTATCAAAAGGTGACAAAGTTTTGACTTTTTTGGGCTTTGTTTTAAATCAAATAAAAACTTGGAAAGGTAAACAATAGGGGGGAAAAGGAGGTGAAGGCAAAAGAAACCAATGAAAATTGATCCATTATGTAGGCTCACAAAGATGGAGGAAAATAATCCAAAATATCCATTTGAGGGAAATGACTAATGCAATATAATGGAGAATTTAGTAAACAAACCAAAAACTGAGGAAAGGTTTAAAGAATCCAAAGCAAATAAATACTGCGTTAAGGAAAAAAAAAAAAGATTCAAATACAGCAGAGAAAAAATTGGGCACACCGAGCTACCAATTGCTAAATTCTTTATCTGGTTTGTCTTTTTTAGTTCACATGTTGTTCCCAGCATATTTTAGGAAGTAAGTCATAAATGAGTTGTCTTCCAGTAGATCACTGTTTAAATTGTTTTGAGTTTGGAGTGCATTTTGCCATAGAGACAATGTGAAAATTTTTCCAGGACAATAATCATAACAAACTGTCATCGTTCTGTGTAGACTATCAGATTATGGTTAAGTCTTTGTACCCTGACCTGTACAATCAGCCACCATTAAGATCATTTCCGATGAGAACACATATTCCTTGGCATGCAGCAAGACATGAATCCAGTAGTAGTAGAAATGTCATTGCTGGGCGCCTGGGTGGCTCAGATGGTTAAGCGTCTGCCTTCGGCTCAGGTCATGATCTCAGGGTCCTGGGATCGAGTCCCGCATCGGGCTCCCTGCTCCTTGGGAGCCTGCTTCTCCCTCTGCCTTTCTCTCTCGCTCTGTCTCTCATGAATAAAAAAAAAAAAAAAAAAAAAAAAAAAAAGAAATGTCATTGCTCACTGTCTTCCCCAAGCTAAAGTTGACACTCCCACAGTTCAATAGGAGATGCTGCTTGGCACCTTCCCTGTTTCTCTGGACTGCAAGGGATCCTGTTCTTACATGTTATATGCACTTATGCACTGAAGACCTTAGTCAATCTGATGCTCATAGGTCAGGGAACACAAGGAACATCAAAGTTATCTTCCTTAATACAGGAAGTTATCTTCCTGTTTGAAAGTCACCTACTGCTCAGGTGTTCTTCATATTGGTAAAGCCTCATTAACTGAACTTTCGCTAGTTTCCAATTTGGTTATTTTGAGAATATACCATGAGGTTTACTAAGTACTGTGGATCAAGTCCTCTTCTCAGGCAACTTGGACACTAGTGGGCAATGGAAGTACTTTTATTTTGAAGTATAAGAGTACTAAGGCTTTTAGTAGAGAAGGGAGACATGTTGAACTTACTTATGTACCATATTAGAGATTATCAAAAATGTTAAAAGTGTATCTATTCCCTGAGAATATAGACTAAGATCTTTATTAGTAGGAATTATTTTAATGTCTGCAAATGTTTCTCAAACTAAGATTTCCTTGTCTTTTACTCCCTAATCAAAATATGACATTCATAGGGAAAAAATTAATTAACAGAGAGGTTTTTGAAAAATAATTTTAAGTTTTCTCCCCAGTAATTTTTCTTAGATTTTTGGTACTAGAACTCATCTAGTAATAAGATAGTAACTTACATGGTAGGAAAGTATATGCTATCATTTTAAATTCATTAAATAATACTAATATTCTACATTTTTCCTGAAAGAGTGACAAACTTCCTATTATTTTGCCTTATGAGCAGTTGAGAACTCTGGTACATATTTGACAATTGTAAGCACACATTTATTTGAAAGTATTCCTCAATTCAGAATTTTAAACTACCAAGATGATCCTTTGTACAATGAGTCCTAATTTTAAAAGTTTTACGTTTCAGAAGGAATAATAATTTATTCATTTTTAGAGTCCCTAGTCATTCATTAAAACTGAGTATTTAACCACTACTTTTTTTTCTGTTAGCATAGGACAACAGTAGCATGTTGGCTCTAGTTTCTCCTCCTGGTTCTTCACTGGACAAGTTGTGTAACCTTGTACAAATTACTGCCTACACCTCGGTGTCTTCTTCTATCAAATGGGAATAATGATAGCTATTTTGGGAATAAATAAATCATTAAAACCTGCAAGCATAACTTCTGAATCCTAGTAGGAGCTCGTGATAATGTTACTTGTCCTTCTTCTTTTTTAGATTCAGTACAATGGCTGAAAAAAATTGCTTATCTGTGCAGTTTTGATTTTCACCATCTATGTAAATTAGTTGAAGTGTCTTGTCCTTGTTATTAAAAAAAAATTACGATTTAAGGAATAGTAATTACTATTTAAGGAACTGGCAGATACCGGAGTTAAAAATGAACCTTAGCGGTCCCCTACTTTGACCTTCTCGTTTTACTAGGGAGCTGAGATGGAGTTTGAAGTACCTTGTTCGTGCTAGTTGTTAGCATATTCCTGCCTTCCTATCCAATTCTCTTCCTTCTCTAAATAGTTTTTAATACCATATTGACCTAACCAACTGTAAACAATTTGTGTTAGGCTGACTGGTCAATAATTTGTCTGAGATTGAAGCAATTTGCAATTACCCTGAGCCTCAGATTTGCAGCCTACTATTAACATTTGGGTGTGCTCCTCTCTACCTCTAGGACAGAACTTCTATTGTCCATGTTCAATTTTTGTAATATACAGCATCACTTTAAAAAAAAAAAAAAAACCAGCACCAAAATGCTTGATCATTAGAGAGTTTGACAGCATTTCAAGGTTTATGCATGCGGATTTAACTCATACTAGCTTTATGGCAGTTTTTTCCATTTCTAACAAATGTGTGTATATTTCCTAAGATTGGTAATGTGCAAGGAAAATAAACAAAGAGACTTGTTCACTCCTCGAAAAAGTCCCAGACCCCATCTTGGCCAAATGGATCGCACTGTTCAGCCCGAAACTAGTTCACTGGCTCAAGCTGAAGAAAGAGGGGGCAAGGCGGTGCATTGCAAATCGAGCTTTTTAATGAAATCCGCATGGCTGCAGTTATTACCAGAGAGAAACATGCTGAAAGGGAAAATATTCCACAACCATGTGCTGCTTAGCAAGCATTAGAACAAGATCTAGGTTAATTTTGCTTTCTCTGTATTTCTTTATTTTATACAAGAATTTGTCAATTTTCTTCTCGAGTAATTCAAAAATTTTTCACTATCAAACACAGTAATGAACATAAAGCAACATTAATTTGTGTCATGAGAAAGTGTTGTTTAGAGTACTATACAGGGTATTTTGGGTTTTCCCTATTTGGCCTTTTTTGGTCTATTGTTTATAGTCACGTTAGGCGCATGTCATTCCTTACATTTAACAAAACAAAACAACAAAAGAAACTTTCCTGGTCTAACAAAAGGGGTAGAAAAGTATTTATATGGATAGGTCAAACAAAAGGAATCAAAGTGGTGAGACTCCATTCAGAAATACAAGCCTTTTTCATTTGTTTTATATTACAAGCTGGCTTTGCATCAAGCTAGTCAAAAGATGTTTGGAAAAAACAAGATATACATTACAGGTCAGAGTACACAGGCAAATGATTATAAAGTCATTGTATATTCCAATTTTACCTGTTACATTTCTGTTATAATTACCTGCTATGAAATCTGAATGCAAATGCATTGAAGTAAAAACAAAATAATGGTGTTTTTATTTTGCTAAACTTTCTCTACTATATACCATCACATCTGCTTTGAAAAATATTTTCTCATATGGAATATAGATATTAACTTCTATTTTCTACTGAATAGTACACTTTATTAAAAAAAACTATTTTTTTAATTTTAGAAGGCAAGAACAGTTTTTTTTTAAAAGGCACATGCATTCTAAAAGCTGTTTTTCCTCAGCATTTTCTTTGAAAACATCAGTCTTGAACAGAACAAAAAAGTTTCCTGCTTCAATTCACTTCTCCACTAATTCAAAGAAGTAACGTCCCCAAGAAGCTCATGAGTGAAGTTTCTTACCGAGCCATATGGAGTTATGAAAAATTCCATTCTTGAATCCCCATCCGTGAGCCTCTTCCCACAGCAGGACAAATAAGTAAGCTAAGATGATCATATCTCAGTTGTAGAGAAGTAATAGCCTGTTAGGGGCTGTCCAGGATAAGTTCTCAGAGCAGAGGCTGAAATGTGACTGAAACATCTGGTTTCCACATCTTTTAAATGGTTTTTTTGGACTGTGAGGTCAGCAAGTCCTCTCCAATGGCGTTTTTCACTGTAGTGTTACACAATTAACTCAGTGTCTGAAGCAAATCCTCTGACTCATTTGCATTGGCAACCAGAACTAAGGATATAGAATGATCATCTACATTTTAAAATTCATCTACTCAGAAAGTGGTTCACTAATTCTGTCTGTCACAGACATTTTTCTATTAGGAAGTTTGTGTAACTTGGTGTAGATTCAGCAGTGATTAAAACAAAAACAAAAAACTTCAGTAGGGATTTTAAGAGAAACCCTGAATGTCTTATTTGCAGTAAGTCAGTTCTGGAGTGTAGGGTTTAGGTTTAGACACTAATCTTGGACTTGATGCTGGTAATGTTACTGTAATTTTCCCTAAACATTGCCAAGCTTGTATAGAAAATTTAAAACAAAGGTGTGCATAGTTTGGCACACTCTCAACTGTCTGCAGTGACGTGGGATGTCTTTGCCTTCTGTCTGTGTTTGTCCTGGGTGGATCTGTTGCAGTCCTTGGCTTATTGTGGTCAGCAGGTAAATACATCAACTTCCAGAAAAATAGCTCCATTTCAGAGCTTTAGGACATTCCAGCAACTTTGGGGTACCTTATTATATTAACACAAATTTCCCCACATGACAAATCCTTGAAGTTGGGGGAGAAAGATGGGTGCGTAGATAGAGTTAATAAGAATATGACCGTAGCTTCCCCAAACCACTCTAACTTTGAGGATGATCAAAATAAAAAGTAATCATTATTAGTAGTAAAATCACCATGCCTTGAAATAGCCCACGCTTTCCACTCCTTTTGTGTAGGGTCTGTGGGTCTAGTGATAGCCCCCACTGCTCAATGCTAGCGGCATCTCCTGTTGATTGACAGTCATTTGGGGGCAACGTTTGCCTCTCTTTCTTTACGTCGTTCTTTGCTGTTTAGTTTTTCTACTCTTGCTGCCAAATTGCTTTCCATTTGCCCTCATATTCATTTTTCTCATGCTTTCTTAGTCCCGCCAGTGATACTGGAATCCTTTGAAAATGCCAACTTTCTGGACTCGCCCGGTCTGAAGTTAGCCTAGAATCCCCCGAGGCATCTTTGCGCTGAACATTGAAGGCTTGCTCTCATCTCTCCTGGAAAGAGCAGTTGTGAGGATGTAGTCTGAGGGTACAAAATTCACTGGATGCTCACTGAAGTATGTATAAAATTATTAGGGTTCAGAATCTCTATTTTGGCCCCCCAGCAAATGAGAAATAAGGGAATTGTATCCCAACTCACGGATAGGGTTAGAGAGTATCGATTTGGTGCAAAAGAGATATAGTCTAGACCACGTGGGTGTGACTGTGAAGAACACAGGCGTGGTCAGAGAGAAACAGGGTGAATAGATAGTTGGAAGGAGCAAGCCATGGTATTGCTCTGGAAAGTAGAATTATATGAGTATTTTAAGTTTGTGGTTTAGGAAGTAGATATAAATGAACTTGAGCAAGGCTGCAGCAAAACCATTGCGGCTTCCCCATTCTTTGCCTGGTCACATTTCTCTGACTGTGCCTTCTGCATTTCTTTGAAGTACCCAATTTCCCCTGGCTCTCATTTATCAAAAACTACTCTGAGGAAAGGGTTGGAAATTAATCTTTACTTAGGTCAAATAACTAACAACAAATACCCATCTTTGTTTATTTGCATTTTAATGAAGCTCCAAGTATAGGAAGGTATGAATGTTCGTTTTGTTTTAACATAAACATTTATTTATTATTATTATTTTTTTAAAGATTTTATTTATTTATTTGACGGAGAGAGAGACAGCGAGAGAGGGAACACAAGCAGGGGGAGTGGGAAAGGGAGAAGCAGGCTTCCTGCCGAGCAGGGAGCCCGATGCAGGGCTCGATCCCAGGACCCCAGGATCACGACCTGAGCCGAAGGCAGACGCCCAACTGACTGAGCCACCCAGGTGCCCCAATTAACGTGAACACTTAATGATTGCTTTGATAGATTAGCCCAATCCAGGTAGAGGACTTCTTTTGTTCTCTCCCAACTCCCCAAAGTACAAATATTTCCCCTTACGTCTATACAATATTTGGAAACCCTGTCCTCCCTTTCATCAAGCAAATAGAAAACAGTGCCTAATAGATGTGGTCTCTGGTTTTGAGGGGGTGTTCATTTCTATTGTGGGAGAAAAGAGGAAGGTGAGGTTTTTATATGGAAAAATGCAGTGGGTATGGGTGGGAATCAAGGGGAGGACAAGTGGGAGAAGAGTAGCAAAGGGAGTGTGGTCTATGAACTTACCTTGGAAGTTGCCTAAGATAAGTAGGTACCCCCTGCCCGACTCTCAGTGCACACTATCCAGGGTGTGTCTGGGGAGCAGACAGAAGATACACTTCTAAAAGTTCCTTTCAAGGGCTCAGCAGACTGCCAGTCACATGCTCTACCTTCTTAGTTGAATGCCGTGCCACACCTGCCGGCCTCCAGTCTCTTGATCTGCCCATCCCAGGGTGTACAGTGGCTCCTTTTGCACCTGTCAGTTATTGGCTGAAAACCCAGCAGCACTTTTCTTTCCTTTCCTTTCCTTTCCTTTCCTTTCCATTCCTTTCCATTCCTTTCCATTCCTTTCCTTTCCTTTCCTTTCCTCTCCTTTCCTCTCCTTTCCTCTCCTTTCCTCTCCTTTCCATTCCTTTCCTTTCCTTTCCTCTCCTTTCCATTCCTTTCCTTTCCATTCCTTTCCTTTCCTTTCCTTTCCATTCCTTTCCTTTCCTCTCCTTTCCTCTCCTTTCCTCTCCATTCCTTTCCTTTCCATTCCTTTCCTTTCCTTTCCATTCCTTTCCTTTCCATCCCTTTCCTTTCTTTTCCTTTCCTTTCCATTCCTTTCCTTTCCTTTCCATTCCTTTCCTTTCCATTCCTTTCCTTTCCTTTCCTTTCCTTTCCATTCCTTTCCTTTCCTTTCCTTTCCTTTCCTTTCCTTTCCTTTCCTTTCCATTCCTTTCCTTTCCTTTTTCTTTTCCTCTCCTCTCCTCTCCTCTCCTCTCCTCTCCTCTCCTTTCCTCTCCTCTCCTCTCCTTTCCTCTCCTTTCCTTTCCTTTCCTTTCCTTTCCTTTCCTTTCCTTTCCTTTCCTTTCCTTTCCTTTCCTTTCCTTTCCTTTCCTTTCCCTTCTTTTTTTGCAAAGGCAGCTCCCCTTTTGGTAGCTTTTCCACAATGTTCCAATACCCATACATCTAAGCAGCTACTAGATACCTAAAAACATGATGGAGAGAACTTCAGATCTGATTTGAGCTAAGACTGAGCTGAACAAGCTTGAGATCTCCTAAGCCAGCACAGTGGTTTAGTGATGTCACTATTATACAAACTTAAAAAAAATAAGACCATAACGCAGAATTTCAAATATTTGTCAGAGGATGAGAGGAGGCATATTAAATTTTTTTTGATAAGCTTAGTCTCAGCTGACAGGAAGAAGGTATGGAGAAATGTCAGGTGGTTGTGTACTGGGGGAGAAAAGGAAAAGAGGAAAGAGATATTCTAAGAGATCACATACAGATGTGATTATACTTTAAAAAGACTGGATTTGATTAGCAAGACATTGTAGGAAAATGTCATTCTTTGGCCATAGTATGAAAGCTAAAACATAAATTATATCATGTTAGGGGCACCTGGGTGGCTCAGTTGGTTAAGCGTCTGTCTTCAGCTCATGTCCTGACCTCAGGGTCCTGGGATAGAGCCCCTTGTTGGGCTCTCTGCTCACTTGGAGTCTGCTTCTCCCTCTCCCTCTCCCTCTGTGCTCTCCCTCTTGCTTTCAGATAAATAAATAAAATCTTAAAAAAATATATCATTTTACTGATTATGTTTTATAATCTTGGAAAGAGAAAAAGCAAGAGGAAGAGAAAAGGGTGGAGCTCAGTGAATTACAAAATATGTTAGTGGAGGACATCTTTACGAACACTTCCAGTAAGGCTATGAAATCACATTACAGGAATGCCTCACTCACTCTAAGATCTCCATATGGTCTAGTGTGGGAATAGGGCAATAACGGAGATTAAGGTCATTCCCCTTAGCCTGATTTAAAAGAATTGGACAGAAATTCTGATGCATGGCATAGAAAAAGGTTAAAGAAATAAAATATGGGGGTGCCTGGCTGTCTCAGTTGGTTAAGCGACTGACTCTTGATTTCGGCTCAGGGTCATGAGATCAAGCCCTGTGTTGGGACTGTGCTGGGCATGGAGCCTGCTTAAGATTCTCTCGCCCCCTCTCCCTCTCCCTCCCTCCTCTGCTCACACATATTCTCTCACTCTCTCTCTTTCTTTAAAAAAAAAGAAATAAAATATGTAGAATTCCACTCATTCATTCAATAAATTCTTAAGAATCTTCAAGTGGAAGGCTGCCAACTTTTACAGGGCTAGTGAGCAGGATGGGGCCTATGGAGAACAATGAGAAATATATGGAAAAGTGAAAGATTTAACTATTTTATATCAGAAAGCTTTTAGAAAGTGAATATGACACTGAAAGAGACCAAACATTGGATTTCCCGTAGGTATATGGTGTGATAGTGATTAGTAATACCCACTAAGTATTTCTGGCTTTCCACCTTCTGGCAGCATGTAGTCTATGGCTTGCTGGGGTTTGGGGGGATCATGTGATTGTTTCTGGGCCAATAAGATGTGAGCAGAAATTATATATGTTATCTCAGAGCCAAACATTTTATTGCTGACGCTCCAGAACTCTTTCCCTCCAGCAAGGAGGAAGACATTTGAGATGGTGGCTGCTCCATCACCTGAATCCCTGATTGATCCCTGATGTTATGTAGCATGAACAAAATATAAACCTTTATTATTTTAAGTCATTGAGATTTGGGGACTGTTCATTACTGTTAGCATAACTTGATCTTTCTTGATTTATAGGAAGAAGTGAGCTTATATGGGTATTAAAGCAAAGGATGATTTCAGAAGGTTGGGAGTCTAAGGACATT